GGAAAGGAAAGGAAAGGAAAGGAAAGGAAAGGAAAGGAAAGGAAAGGCATACATGTATCTAGTTTATAGCAATGCATTTTGGCTATACCAGTCAAGAATTAATTTTTTGCAAACCAGCCTTGTTTCCATCACACCCATAAAACATTAAATTAGTTATATTTTGTTACATAAAACTCTGTTCTTTTTCTACTTTAAATAGAAATTTCTCAATTCTCTGTCTTTTTACTATTTTGCCATCCTTTTGTTTTGTGGTTTGATCCTCATTCATTTTCTCTATATGATCAAACCACCTTAATGAAAGCCATTCCTACTGGTCACTTAACTTTGTATTCATTTGCCATCCTTTCATTCTTGACCCTGTCTCTTCTTGTTTTACCAGGCACACTTAACTCTCATTCCCAGTTCATTCAATTTACTTTTATATCTTTCCTTATTCACCCAACAGACTTTCCTATAACTAAATGGGCAGAAGCAGGGTCTTATACATAGCCCATTTTGCTTCTGTCATTCTTCACGACAGATTCGATATTACCCAGCACTTTTTTTGCAAGAATTTGCACATTTTATATCACTACTTTCCCTGTTTTTAGAAAAAAGCTTGCCAAGATATACAAATTTGTCATTTTTTACATTTGTGTATAAGTAGCAATTGCTTCCTCTATTTCTTTTTAATTTTTATTAGTTTATAATATAAAATACAAAAAAAAATACAAAAGAAAATAGTAAGGGAGGGAGAAGGAAAGGAAAAAAATGCAGGGCAAATAGAAAAAAGAAAGAAAAGGCATTGTCTTCTGATTCCGTTTGGTGCAGTAGAATAAGATAATAATATCAAATCTCAACTTTTTATTTGTACATAGTAATATAAGCTATAGTCATTTCTATAGCAACAAACCTATCTAATTGGTAAAGCCCAAAAATCAAAGTTTCATTTTTTTCCCACCTTAATCGCAAAGTCCAGAAGTGGCTTCCAAGTAGAAACAAAAGTAATTGTGTTTTTTTTCCTTTAATCAAAGCAGTCAATCTCTGCTAACTCCATCAATTTTTGCAGCCATTCATCCATTGTGGGAATCAAAGTGTCCTTCCATTTTTGTGCATAACATAATCAGTTGCTGCCTCTATTTCTGTGGGGAAAAACAATTAACTTGATCTTTCCTATCTTCATTTTCAAATCCATTCTCCTCACTGCACTCCAAGATTCACTGCAAATCATTTGGATTCACAGTCAATCAGCGCGCCATGGTTTTTAAAGAGTTTAGTTCCTCATAATGCAACTCTCTTGTGTGTTTTTCCTCACAGGTAATGGATTTTTGTCCATTAAATACAAAGTTTGTTTCTTAATCGTTGCCCAATTCTTTTATTCTTTTAGCAAAGTCATGTCCCAAAAACATGATTTACCTGGAAAGTGGTTCTCCCTGCATGGACTCCTGTTCACACCTGGAGATCAGCAAACTATGTGAAGAACACTATATGGATGGCTGTTTTTGCCCCAAAGGTAACCATTTCAATGTATAAAGAGTTGGGTGGGAAATTCAAATTTAAATCCCTGCTCAGTTGGATGGTTGAAGCCAAGCTGATTAGTCCCTTTTCATAGTTGTTTGTGCTTAGTTCAATAGTAAGTGAACCAGGGGTGGGCTTCAAAAATGTTAGCAATGGTTCTCTGCCTGGTTGCCGGGTGGGCGTGGCCATGGTGGGAGTGACCTAGTCGGCTTCCTACACCACTGCAGGGGAGCGTTTATGCCCTTCCCGGGCTCTGGAGGCTTTTCTTGAGCCTCTGGGAGGGCGAAAATGGCCTCCCTGGGCTCCGGAGGAAGCTGGAAATGGGCCAATTTCCAGCATTTCTGAACTTCCGGGAGGCCCGTTTTTTTCCACCCTCCCTGAGCCTCCATGCGCGTCCTGCACTTACCTGCACCGAAAACGGGCGGCATGGAGACTCCTGGGAGGGTCGGGGCAGGGCGGGCGGGACCAGCCAGCAGTGGGATTTGGGGTTCTCTGAACTGCAAAGAATCTTAGCTGGGGGCTCTCCCGAACCCCTGTGAACCCCCAGCAGCCCACCCATGAAGCTCACCCCAATTAGTGCTCATTGCAATAACAAGCATTCCAGTAAGTAATAGTATATAGTTGATTCACTGAGATTTAACTCTGAGAAAAATATATATGAAAAATGTAATTTCCGTTCAAGAAATGTTGAGGTAGCAATATTAGAAATAATTTTTAAAAATGGTCAGCGTTAAGCAGAAGTGATTATCTCCCTTTGAAAGAAAGCATCATTACTGCCATCTATCACGAGCTCAGAAAAGGAACAGGCAAACTTTTTAAAAAAAATTATTATTGAATGCTGCATTTTCTTGGGCATAATCAATTAGATACCTGATTAGACCTGGCTAGAGTCAAAAACGAGTGGGCCTTTTTGACCCATCCCTCTTTTCTCTTTGGAACCTGTTCCCTTTTTCCTTTTTTAATCCCATTATCAGGCTAATGGGACATTTTGTTCTTAAATTTAAGCTGAACTGAATGTTTGCAGAAAACTTCTGAAATTAGGACTTCATGAAATTAGGCTATTTGCAAGACCCTTGCAAAGCTCATTCTCTTCTGCTGTGAATCTTTACTCCTACTCTGTACTCTTCAATGAAATGTAGTAATTAGCTAGGAATTTCCTTTTTAGCCCTTTAGTAGCAATTCTGGTTGCTGTGCATTATTAATGATTTCTTCTTTCACTTTTACAGGCACGGTATATGATGATGTCACAGGGAATGGCTGTGTGTTAACCAGCCAATGCCACTGTAAACTTCATGGAAAAACATTCTCCCCTGGTCAGAAAATTGCCAATGAGTGTGAAGAGTGGTAAGAATGCCAATAGCTCATCATTTCCCTTTTAGCGCTTAAAGTAAAATTTGTTTTTTAGAGTAACCCAATCATTGTTACGTCAAAATGAGAACAGGGTTTATATCATGTCAATAATGACAGAGTGATCCTATTTAGACACTTTACTAGTACAGAAACAGCCTGAGAATAAGTGATGCTTGTTCAAATAATAACTTCCTTGGACCAGTGGTGGGATTCACAATTTTTTACTACCGGTTCTGTGGGTGTGACTTGGTGGGCGTCGTGTGGCTTGGTGGGCGTGGCAGGGGAAGGATACTGTAAAATCCCCATTCCCTCTCCCCTCCTGGGGGAAGTTTACTGCAAAATCCCATTCCTTCCCCAGCCCACTAACCTGCTTTCCAGCTCCGTTCTCCTGTGCAGGGCAACAAAAGAAGACCCAGCCGATCAGCTGGGACTCGGGAGGCAGAGAATAGATGCGGGTGGGGCCAATCAGAGGTGGTATTTGCCGGTTCTCTGAACTACTCAAAATTTCCGCCAGTGGTTCTCCAGAACTGGTCAGAACCTGCTGAATACCACCTCTGCCTTGCACTACCAATGAACCCCCCTTGCTTTTAATTCAATACCTTATATTATTTTACACTGAGTAAACATGCAAAGTCAAATTAAGAAATGTTGCATTTATGTGGAATAAGGGAAGATAAATAAAAAAAAAATACCTAGGATCAGCAAGTAACCCTAAAGAAAAGTGAATGTATTTGTAGGAGATGACCAGGCTGAGCCCAAGGGAGGGTTCAGCAGTCCCTTCACGTCCGTTAGAGATGTAAATCCAGCACACTTTGAATTCCATTGATTCTTATCTACCACCAATTTGCTTTGATCTTAGTAATCCAGATTCTTGTAGAGAGGGTTAGCATGCAATAACCTGCCTTTATTTGAACCACCTTGCTTCCTGATTTCTTGCAGCTGACAGTATTGCCTCTAATTTAATCTGTAACTGCAAAGTCATCATCCAGGCTTTAATGGCTTCTTCAATTTGTAAAAACAACAACAATAACAAAAAAAACAACCCCACCTAGGTGTGATTATTTTGTAGAGAAAATACAAACAGACGTACTTCCAAAAAAAACCCCATTCAGTGGGACATTCTAAATGCATGTATTTTCAGTACAAATTCTTAATTTGTATACCCCGTTTGTTTATTTTCAGCACTTGTCAGTCAGGGAGATGGAACTGCAAGGAGTTATCATGTCCGAGTACCTGTGCTTTGGAGGGTGGATCCCACATAACCACTTTTGATGGGAAGAAATATACCTTCCATGGAGACTGTTACTATGTGTTGACCAAGGTATGTGTGTGGAATACTGCCCTTTGGATCTGTACCCGGTATTATGAACATTGCAAATATGCTTGTTTTGATAGCTATAGGAGAAGTGGATGAATTACATCATGTGCTATATACATGCAAAGGACCCTATAATCATTAAGCCTATTTAAATATCACTGAACAAAGTTGTTAATTTAGAATGGTCCTTCTGTAGAAATAGCAACGCTCCCAGCCTTTTATCTCAAAAACATGGAACATCTGCAATACAAACTTGCCATATTTTCTTCAGCTAGAAAATAAATTTCTGGTATCATTATCATCATCATAACAGTCACTGCAACTATATTTTAGTACAGAAATAACCAAGTGCTTTACAGAATTGGAATAACTGGAATAAAATGCATAACAAACACAAACATTTAAAAAATTAAATCACTGCTATGGAATGATATAAAGCAATCAGCAAAAGATATTTGGCACAACTCCAAAGGCCGATTGAAGAAATCTGTAGAATAAATCAATGAGCATTCAAAATTAACATAACCTTTTCACTGATATTTAAATGGGCTTAGTGATTATAAGGTCCTTTGGTGTATATAGCAAATGATGTAAATGATGTAATCCACTTCTCCCCTAACTATAAAAACAAGCACATTTAGTTAGGGACAATTTTCTCCTTTTAATGGTCAAATAAATAGATTTCTAGTCCATGCCCAATCTACTCTATTTCTGCATTCATAATTTTTTTACTAACACAAAATCAAGGTTTTAATTGTATTCCAAGACAAACATTCTAAACATATTCAAAAATAGCATGTCAGTATGAATTTTCTCTCAAAATATGCATTTCCATATGCATTTTGGACCAAGAACTGAACTGAAACATTTAGAAAGTGTAATAGCTGATCGACAACTAATTCTAATTTCCAGAGAAGCTCAGGCAATGTGGATCAGGTCAGTTGATTGAAAAGATAAAATTCCCCAAGCATTATTTCTAAGTTGTGTTATGCCCTGATTATGATATGGAATATGAATAGTCAAAGTTGAATTTATTTCCTTTTTGGGAGGGGGACAATTGACTTATGTATTGGGCAACTCAATATTATTATTAATTCTGTCTGCTAGAATGTCTGCAGAACTGTGACTACAGGGATATTCTACATTGGCAAATTTGTTCCATTTGTCACCTTGTTGCACATCTGATACTAGCTGTTTTTTTTTGGGGGGGGGGGACTAGCACTGCAGAATTGTGTCAACCTTACAGAATTCACCACTAGACATCACAGCCAGTCTGACATCTGCTGATATACTGTATAATGTAGAGCATACCCCTCAGAGCTGTATAGCTCTGATAACTGCTGCTACCAACATATAGCACATGTCCTTTATACCACCTTATAAAGTGCAGTGAAATTTAGGACAAGGCTAAAAAGATTGCTATGAGTCTGAATGGGACACTGAGTGATTTGGGTAGCTGGATCTCCAATAGCAATAGACAGATTGACAAGAGATTAGATAGATGATAGATAGATAGATAGATAGATAGATAGATAGATAGATAGATAGAT